GGTGCGTATGTCCTGGAGAAATTTCTTCGGGGGAGGAGGGAAAACAAACCATCCTGATTTAAAGGGGAAAAAAAAAAAAAAAAGAAAAAAACCCCACCCCCCCAAAAAAACCCCAATCCCACTTATAGGCTTCAGGCACCACAAAGACCACTTATTGCATCTCTTCCTACCCTACGGGTGCAGTACTGATCAGCTCTGTGCAGGACGAGCCCTCCCCTTCCCGAGCACCGGCCTCGATACCCAAAAGCCGGGCACGGGCAGGGGTGGTGGGCCGACCCGGGGCGCCCGGCCACAGCCAAACAATGCGAAATTTTACATCTGGATACATGGAAACAGATGCTTGGGAAGCGACTGAGTGATCCCCCAGGAGAGGGCTCCCCCAGGCTCCGGAGCCCCCCAGCTCTGCACTAACCCTTCCCTCCGCCACGCTTGATGCATCCCCGGCAGGACCCGGCCCTGGGGGCTCGGTGCCCCCGCCTGAGCCGGAGATGGAAGAATTCCACTTACTTTGCTTTTTTGTTGTTGTTGTTCTTGGTTTGTTTTTTTTGGATTGACCGTTTTCTGAAAAACATCAGCACAGCACAGGACAGTACTACCCACCCTAAATGTGTCGCTATATACATTCTACATAAGCTCTATAGCAATCACATGTAAACATCATCGTCGTGAGGAAATACTAGGACAGAAAAAGGCAAAGCTACAATGAGGCAATTGCCAATAGCAGATGCTCAGTCTCGGCCAGAGCTACTCGTGTTTGCTGAGGTGGGATGAGAAGTGGGGGGAGCTCGCGGCAGGAGAGATGCCGTACCTCGCTGCTGAGACTGAAATGGCACGAGGACTCTGCCCTGACAGTGATCGTCGCCGGCGGCAGATTGGGGACCTGCAGTTCAAACCCTGTGGTGGCCTGCGGGCCCTCGCGCCGCCGGGGCTGGTTGTCATCAGAACCACGCCTTCCCCGCAAGCGGGGAGAAGTAGCCAGGTAACTGTGCTGGTATCGGCGCTGCCGGCATCCCCGCTCCCACCGGAGACCAGCCACTCACGCGGCCCCGGAGCCAGGGGCCACCCATTGGCTCTTGGCATCGCATCTTGAGCAGTTTTAGAGGCTTTGGTTGGACTCTCCGCGAGACGAAATTGTATCCACACCAGTGAAATGAGAATAAACCCCCCCAAATCATGTAGAGGGGAGACCTCAGGAGACTCTAATCTATCTATTGGCAGAGTTAAGGCTATAATATTCTATCTACATAGGATGGCTGAATCCCTAGTGGTCTCTGGGTCTGGAAAATAAATGGAGATGACGGCAATGGCTTGAGGAGCGGCGAGATTCCCGCTCCTTTGGGAAAATGGTGCCTCTGGCCAGCTCGCGGTGGGCTCTCTCCCTCCTCCACCTCGCCCAGAGATGGAGGGCAAGTTTGCAAGCAAATTTTGGGGGGATGCTGCTTGAGCATGCCTTAAATCCAGCGCTGCCGGGCAGCCCCGACCAGAGGCAGAGCGGGCCAGCATGCCACGGGGCGCCGGCGGGCGCGGGGTGACGGATCCTGGGTGACAACCTGGTGCTGGGGAAGTGTATGGCTTATCAGGTACCGGGCAGAGCACGGGCAGGGCGTTGGTGAGCCGCGTCCCCTCCTGCCTCCCTGCTGCTCTGGATTTTGGGCCGGCTGCCCAAAAAGGGATCACAGACGGGTCTTATCGCCACGCTTGCTTTGCAGGGGGTGGAAGCGAGCGGGACCAAGCTGCTCGGCTCGGCTGGTCTCCCCGCCGCCCAAGGAACCGGAGAGAAGCCAGGTCCCTCACACAGACCCGGAGGTGGCCGTCCCCCAGGCTGT